AGTCTTGACTGGTGAGTTCAGTCCATTGATATTTAAAAGTTATTATTGAAAGATTGTATCGGTTGCCTTCATTTTGATTACTGTTTTCATTCTTTGTCTAATTTTGTGTTTCCACAATTATATCTTCATTTATTTTCTTTCTGTTGCCCCTGGGGTATAGTTCTTCCTTTCTCCATTCTTAGTATTGCTTCAAGTATTCTTTGTAGGACTGGTTTTGTGGACATGTATTCTTTCAACCTATTCATGTCATGGAAGATTTTTCTTTCCCCTTCAACTATAATAGACATTTTTGCTGGGTAAAGTATTCTGGGTTGGCATCTGTGGTCATTTAGAACTTGAAATTCTTTAGTCCAGGCTCTCCTGGCTTTCATAGTTTGCATTGATAAGTCAGCTGTAATTCCAATGGTTTTCTTTTATATGTGAGTTGTTTTTCTTGTGCAGATTTCAGTAATCTCTCTTCTGTATGTTCAGTGTTTCTGTATATTCAGTGTTTTTACTATGATATGCTGTGGGGAGATTCTTTTCTGGTCCTGTCTATTTGGTGTTCTATGTGCTTCTTGTATTTTTATGGGGATGTATTTCCTTAATTTCAGGAAATTCTCTTCTACAATCCTGTTTAAGATCTGGTCAATACTGTTAACCTGGAATTCTTCTCCTTCCTCTATGCCTATGATACATAGATTTGGTCTTTTCATGGTGTCCCACATCTCCTACATATTCCATTCTGTGTTTTTAAAATTTTTTCATAATCTTTGCTTGAGTGATGCAGTTCTTCAGCTTTATCCTCCATGTTGATCCTCTGTTTTCCATTTTATCCATTCTAGCAATGAAACATTCTCCTGTTGTTTCAAGTTGGCTTATTGAGTTTTTCACTTCCTTCTTCCTTTCAGCCTTAGTTTTCATCAATGTTTCTCTTTTGTGAATTCAGTTAGAAGTTTACCCCTATCTTCCTTTAGTTCTTTGATTTGTTTGTGTGTTCTTTAAATTCATTGAATTCCTCTATCATGTTTGATTGTTCTTTTAAATTCTGTGTCCTGGGCTGGAGAGATGGCTCAGTGGTTAAGAATACTGGCTGTTCTTGCAGAAGACCTGGGTTCGAATCCCAGCACCTACATGGCAGCTAACAGCTGTCCATAACTCCAGTTCCAGGGGACCCAACAGCCTCTTCTTTCCTCTGCAGGCATTGCACAACATGATCACACTTACTACATGCAGGCAATACATGCATACACATAAAATAAAAATAATAAATTAAATATTTAAATTCTGTGTCCTGGGTTATCTCTAGGGGGTTCTCCTTGTAGAACTCTTCTATCAGAATGGTAGAGTTTGGTGAGAACATGTTTTGGTTTTCCATAGTATTATTTTTCTGTTGTGATTTTGTCATGTGGATTTCTTTTGTTGTTTGTGATATGGTATGACACTCAAGATTTCTTTTGTTGAGTTAAAGTTTGCTTCTGTTTGTATCACTGGTGTGCCTTGGTTGTTTTCTTATTGGGTATGTAAGGCTAGTTTTCTAGGTTTCAGGTTCTCTCAGGTTTTATTTTGGAGGGAACTGATGGCTTCAGATCAGCTACTCAGGAGCTTCCACAGAGGCCCAAGTGAGGCTCCAATCAGGTAGACTCAGGCTTCCTTCTAATGTTTGGACTCCTTCTAGTAGGTACTCACAGCACAATTTGGGAAGTTCGCTAAGGGGGGCCTTGATTTTGGTACTCTCAGCCTGTCTGCTGATTTCTCAGCCCTACCCTGCCATAGGACAGAGAAGTCTACTTCTGGGGGCATGGGAGGGGGCCTCACATAATCCCAGTTAGAGGGGGTTGGGTCTGTCATGATTTAGGGAAGCTCACCACCATGTGGAGGCTGCATCCAGGCGCTCTGAGGCCTTCTGGTAAAGTCTCAGCCCTCACATCCTGTTTTTATCAGCTTTTTTGATTCTTTCTATAGACCTCAAAGCAGTCCCCAAATTTATAGAGAAGAGACTGTGTGGAAGCATCAGACTTACCATTCAGTCTCAATGTGTGCTGCCTGTCCAGCCCCAGAATCTTTACGACAAAGCAAACAGACAAAAGTTTTGTAAAAATAAGAATATTAATTGCCTTACCACTCATATTAGCTCATTCAGACTGCTGAAACAAAATACTGAGGAGCTATTTCCAGTCCTGGAGGCTGCATCCAGGATAAGACGCTGGCTATTGTTCTGCTGGTGAGAGCCTGTCTTCTCATAGATGTGTCCTCACATGGCGGATAAGGCCTCTGCCTGGGGCACCAGTCTCTTTCAAGAGGGCTCTGGTTTATGACCTGGTCACCCTCCAAAAAGCCCCACCTCCTAATGTCATCATCTTGGTACTTAGGATTTCAACATGTCACACACATACACAAACTGTTTTACATTTTCTTTTCTGCGATTATCCAAGGATTTGTGATGTCATAACATATGACATAAGATCTGTTAAGTACATTATTTATTACTAGCTTTTCAGAAATAAATGAACTTTATTGTATTAAAAATTGTTCCAGTTTTAAGGAGATTTAGCTGAGGTCTTCATGAGTGGAATCTGCTTTTAAGTTGGTGACTAGTGAAGGAAAGCTATGGTTAGGTCATCTCTAGGAAGATGATTAAAGAATAAAATGACAGTGCTTACTGAGTGCAGAATGGGTTTATATTATTTAGCCTTCAATTGCTGTGATAAAATACTGACAAAAACCAACTTTGGGAAGAAAGAGTTTATTTTATTTTACATCAGTCAGGTTATAGTTCATCACAGAGAAGTCAAGGCAGGAGCTCAGGGTAGGAACCTGGAAGCAGGAACTGAAGCACAGACCATGAAGGAACACTGCTTACTGGCTTACTCTCCTCTTCCATGCTCAGCCTGCTTTCTTATACAAGACAGGACTATCTGTCCAGGGGTGGCACCACCCTCAGTAGGCTGGGTCCTACCATGTCACTCAACAATCAAGAAAATGCCCCACAGACATGTCCAACAGAGATAATTCCTCAATTGAGAGTCCCTCTATCCAGGTGTGTCAAGTTCACAACTAAAGCTCAGGGACTTTATCCCTGAAACAGTGTAGATTAGGAAAAACGAGTAAGACTTTAGGTTTTCACTATAAAGAGCTGCTGGCATCCTTTCTTTCCATGCCACCTAGAAAAGTTCTCGGTCTCCGTCAGATCCCCCTTTCCCATTCCCTCTCTCTCCTCTTATCTTACAAGATATTCTGCATTAAAGAAAGATGGACAGAGACTTTCAACTTTAATGAAGAGAGGCGAAGCAGTAGAAGCCAAACCTGCCAGGCTCGTCACTGTGTACAGCATCTCTCTTCAGAAATTCCAGCCACCACTTTTCACATTAGGTAACATGGAGAGAAACAAACTGTGTTTGCTTGTATCTTTATTTCATATTTGACTAATGGATCCCTACAGCATTAGAAAGAATTTTTATTGAATGTAAGGAAGGTTAGTTTGTCTTTTTTTTTTTTTTTTTTCCGGAGCTGAGGACCGAACCCAGGGCCTTGCGCTTGCTAGGCAAGCGCTCTACCACTGAGCTAAATCTCCAACCCCATAAGGAAGGTTATTCTTTAATAAAACATTTAAAGAGGTATGTCCAACCCCATGGAGGTTCAGAAAGACCTTTCTATTGATTGTGGTAGTACACACCTTTAGTCCCAGCATTCAGGAGGCAGAGGCAGGTGGATCTCTGAGAGATCAATGTCAACCTGGTCCACATAGGAATTTCCAGACAAGCTGGGGCTACAGAGAAAGAGACTGTCTCAAGAAAAAACCAAATGCAAACAAACAGGGAGGGAGGGAGGGAGAGAGCGAAGACCTTTTTGACTCAGCTTAGGTTTTTTTTATTATGTGATGTCATCTTACTGTAAACTTGGGAGTAAAATGATTTAGATCTCTTTATAGAAGTAGGTAAAGAACATGCATTTTCAAGATGTTAGAGTTTTATGACTAGTTTTCCTTCCATTTTGGCTCGTACTTAACTCATTTAATTTTAGAGTAAATATTCATTTGTCCTTCTAAAACAAAGCATGTGTCGATTTTGAACAAAAATCTATAAGAATAGACTCATTTCCCACCCCCTTTTGTTGTCTTCAAGTTGTGCTAAACATCCTGAAAATGTGGGAGAAATAAGATGGAACTGTGTTGTTGGGCACATGGTCACAGTTGTTGTTGTTGTTGTTGTTTTTAATATTTTTATCATTTATTTCTTATTTTATGTATATGAGTGTTTTACCTGAGTATATGTAAGTACACCCATGTCATCAAAGCCTGTGGAGGCCAGAAGAGGGCATCAGATCCCCTGGAACTGGAGTTACGGATGGTTGTTAGCCACCATGTAGGTGCTGGGAATCAAACTCAGGTCCTCTGGAAGAGCAGTCAGTGCTCTCAACTGCTGAGCCATTGTATAGCCCCTGATTTATTTATTTTTATTTTATGTGTGTGCATATTTTGTGTACATGTATGTAAGTGCACCACACACATGCAGTGCCCACAGAAGAGAGTGTTGGGTCCCCTGTAACTGGAGTTACAGATGGTTGTTAGCTGCCGTGTGGGTGCTGGAAACTGAACCCAGGTCCTCTGCAAGAGCAGACAGTACTCTTAACCAGTAAGCCATCTCTCCAGCCCCCTGGTCACAGTTTTAGTTCAGGTTATCAACTTGAATAAATAATCCATATTTAAAATAAACTCATAAACCAAAAGGCTTGTTTGTATGGTTTAGAAACTTTAGAAAACTGTGTAGTTGTTAGTCCTCTGGCTTCCTGAAGTGGATTCTCCCTGTATTTTCATAGTAGATACCAAATAGGAATCCTTTTAGAAGCAATTCCCCCAAACCTACTCTTCTCTAAATTTTATGGCTTTTTTCTCATCAGCGTTATTATTTAATGTATATTATGACATTC